TTCTGCCTACTGAACCAAATTGTTCTAACAAACCTTCATTTTCATAAAAATTCCACTTTTAATGAAGCTTTCTTTTTTTTTTTGCATGCTGTCTTAACTACCTCTTTTGCTATGAGATTGTCCAGTCTTCTCTCTTGTTTTAAGTATTGTCCTTGCAATAAAAATCCACGCCTGGTGACTTTGAGTAAGGCATCGTGCTAGGCATAGTCACCTAACTTTTAAATAAACTTTTAAATAAACTTCTCTTTCTTTTAAAAAAATAAGCATACCAGGCACAGTGACTCATACCTATAATCCGAGCATTTGCCTGGTGCAGTGGCTCACGCCTATAATCCCAGCAATTTGGGAGGCCAAGGTGAGAGAATTGACTGAGCCTGCAGGTTCGAGACCAGCCTAGAAAACTTGGCAAGACCTCATCTCCACAATAAATCAAAAATCAGCCTGGCGTGGTAGCGTGCGCCTGTAGTTCCAGCCACTTGGAAGGCTGAGGCGGAAGGATCGCCGGAGCCCAGCAAATCGAGGCTGCGGTGGCCGGGAGCGGCCACTGCACTCCAGTCTGGGCGACAGAGTGAGACTCCAACTCAAAAAAAAAAATAAAAATAAAATAAGATAAAAATAAAAAGTAACTTTTCCGTCCTCCCTTTGTGGGGAGCTCTGCTTCACTGGGCTGCTGTCAAAACAGTGGGTGTTTTTGTACATTGTTCTGCCAGCTTTATGATTATCTGGACACTTTTAGGTTCCAGCTTTATCTTTTCAGAAGTTGTGAAATGCAAATAACATAAAATTTATTGTCTTGAACTGCACAGATCAGTGGCATTCTCAGCCTGTAATCCCGCGCCTTGGGAGGCCGAGATGAGTGGATTACCTGAGCCCGCGGGTTCGAGACCCACCTGGGCAACTTGGCGAGACCTCATCTCTACAATAAATCAAAAAATGAGCCGGGCATGGTAGTGCGTCCCTGTAGTTCCAGCTAACTTGGAAGGCTGAGGCAGAAGGATCGCCGGCGCCCCGCAGGTCGAGGCTGCGGTGGCCAGGAGCGGCCACTGCACTCCAGTCTGGGTAATAGAGTGAGACTCTACCTCAAAAAAACCCAAAACACATTCACATTGTTGAGCAGCCAGCATCATTCATCTCCCAATCTTTCTTCATCTTGCACACCTGAAATCAACTTTTTTTTTTCCTTTGGAGTCTCACTCTGTCACCCAGGCAGGAATGCAGTCGCACACTCATAGCCACCACAGCCTCGACCTCCTGAGCTCAGGTGATCCTTCCGCCTCAACCTTCCAAGTAGCTGGAACTACAGGCACATGCCACCACCCCCTGCTAATTTTTTGATTTATATGTAGAGATGAGGTCTTACCAAGCTAGTATCGAATTCCTGGTCTCAGGCAATCTTCTCACCTATGCCTACCAAAGTCCTAGGATTACAGGCGTGAGCCACCACGCCCAACTGTAACCATCCTTTTTTTTTTGAGTTGGAGTCTCACTCTGTCACCCAGACTGGTGTGCAGTGGCCACTCCCAGCCACAGCAGCCTCGACCCGCTGGGCTCTGGCAATCCTTCCACCTCAGCCTTCCGAGTAGATGGAACTACAGGCACGTGCTACCACGCCCGGCTGATTTTTTTATTTATTGTAGAGATGAGGTCTCACCAAGTTGCCCAGGTGGGTCTCGAATCTGCGGGCTCAGGCAGTCCACTCACCTCAGCCTCCCAAAGCGCTGGGATTACAGGCTGAGCCTCTGAGCTTGGCTTAATCATCCTTTTTTTACCTTTTTTTTTGAGTTGGAGTCTCACTCTTGATGCCCAGGCTGGAGTGCAGTGGCATGCTCACGGTCACTGCAACCTCGATCTGCTGGTCTCAGGTGATCCTTCCACCTCAGCATTCCAAGTAGCTGGAACTATAGGCGCATTCCACCATAACCAGCTAATTTTTGATTTATTATAGAGACAAGGTCTCACCAAGTTGCCCAGGCTGGTCTCGAACCCTTGGACTCAGTACAATCCTCTCGCCTTGGCCTCCCAAATTGCTGGGATTACAGGTGTGATCCACTGCGCTCAGCTTTTTTTTTACTCTTGATGAAAGTCTAAGTTCAGGTGTTCTGACTGCCTTCTCGGTTTTACAGGCTGGCTGGGCTGTTCTAGCTGTTGTTCATGCAGGAACATCCCAGCCGTGCTCCTCACATCACCATGGATCGGGAAGACTGGTGTGGATTTTGGACATTGATAAGGCCAATGTAGGTTTTTGATTTCTGGGAATCCTGTAGTTGTCACCATAAAGACCTTTCTGGGTCTGGTGGGGTGGCTCAAGCCTATAATCTGAGCACTTTGGGAGGTCGAGGCGAGAGAATTGCCTGAGCCCGCGGGTTCGAGCCCAGCCCAGGCAACTTGGTGAGACCTCGTCTCTACAATAATAATAATAATAAAAAAAAAATTAGCGGGGCATGGTAGCATGCCCCTGTAGTTATGGCTACTTATAAGGTTGAGGCAGAAGGATCACCTGAGCCCAGCAGGTCGAGGCTGAGGTGACCAGGAACGTGCCACTGGGCGACAAAGTCAGACTCTAACTCAAAAAAACCAAACCTTTCTGGTGGTATATAGACCACCATAATTACTTCTAGAAGGTGTGGTTGGAATCTATTGGAACTCTCACTGATGCCCTAAAGCCCACGCCATAGAGGCTTCGGGTCCCTGGAATGCTTTTGTTCACACTAGAGACTTCAGGCACCCCAAAGCAGCTCAAATTTGGACAGGGTACCTGGGAACAGCCACATCATAGCTAAGGAGTGACGAGGAACATTCTGAGTGCATTTCACAGGAACTCTAAGAGAAAGGGTTCTATGGTTGGCTTTTCTTTCTGGCTCCTGAGAATTGGCCCCATCAATTCTCTCTCTCTCTCTCTCTCTTTTTTTTTTTAAGTTGGAGTCTCACTCTGTCACCCAGCCTGGAGGGCAGTGACACGCTCCCGGCCACCGCAGCCTCAACCTGCTTGGCTCAGATGATCCTTCTGCCTCAGCCTTCCAAGTAGCCGGAACTACAGGCACGCACTATCATGCCCAGCTAATTTTTAAAAAATTGATTGTGGAGATAAGGTCTCACCGTGTTGCCCAGGCTTATGAGTGAGAATATGTGATACTCAGTCCTTTGTTTCTGTGATAGATCACTCAGTATTATAGAATCTAAGTCCTTCCAAGTTGCTGGGAAGTTCATAATTTTGTCCTTCTTTTTGGCTATGTAATATTCCATCGTGTATATATACCACATTTTTTTAATCCAATCCTCTTTTGATGGGCATCACAGTTGATTCCATGTTTTTGCTATTGTGAACAATGCTGCAATAAACTTGCATGTACTGTATCTTTTTCATAGAGTGATTTAAGTTCCTCTGGGTATATTCCCAGTAGGAGGACTGTGGGGTCCAATGGAAGGTTGATTTTTAGACCTTTTAGGACTTGTCAAACCACAGAGGTTGTACTAGTTTACACTCCCACTGACTGCGTAGAAGTGTTCCCTTTTCCCTGCATCCTTGTCAGCATCTGTTTTTTTGGGGGTTTTTTTGGAGCAATTGATGATAACCATCTTGACTGGAGTTAGGTGGTATCTCAGTGTGGTTTTAATTTGCATTTCTTTGATGATTAATAAGACAGCATTTTTTGGTGTATCCGTTGGCTGCTCTTATGTATTTTTTTGAGAAGTGCCTGTTCGTATCTATTGCCCACTTTGCAATGGGGCTGCTTGTTTTTTTTTCTTTTCTTTTTTTTTTGTTATGACAATAACTGTTTATTATACATTCCTGTTCCTAGAGGAGACCTCTTTAAATTTTTTGTTTGCCAATTCTTTGGAAATTGGCTTTCAGATTTAAGATAGTATGTTTTCTAATCTCTTATTGCTTTTTAGGTTTTTTTAATCAATATTTTTATTATGGTTTTGTGGGGTACAGTTAAGGGTTAGGTGTACAATTACGTTTCATTCAGGCACCCTGTTGATAAGAGGTGTTTCTCCATCCCCAGACAGATATTTACTACTGTTAATCCCATCCCCCCCCATAGTTTCCCAGTACCGTCAGTCATTTTCTTATAGTATTACATTGGATGTTCATCTTCTTGTTTCAACCTTGGACTGAAAGTGGACGGGATAAAGAAAATGTGATACATATACACAACGGAGTATTACATAGCCATAAAGAACAAATTCCTGGACTTTGTGGCAAATTGGATGGAATTGGACAATCATACTTAGTATCATAGAAATAAAGAAATGTTCCGGGCACGGTGGCTCTCGCCTATAATCCCAGCACTTTGGGAGGCCGAGATGAGAGGATTGCCTGAGCCCACGGGTTCGAGACCAGCCTGGGCAACTTAGTGAGAACTTATCTCTACAAAAAATAAAAAAATTAGCCGGGCATGGTGGTGCATGCCTGTAGTTCCAGCTACTTGGAATGCTGAGGCAGAAGGACCGCCTGAGCCCAGTAGCTAGAGGCTGCGGTGGCTGTCAGCGTGCCACTGCACATTCCAGCCTGGGTGGCAGACTGAGACGCCAACTCAAAAAAAGAAAGAAAGAAAGAAAGAAAGAAAGAAAGAAAGAAAGAAATGAACGCTGCATGTTCTCACTCATAAGGGTCCATAACAACACAAGGGGTACCTGGTCCTATTCCAGGGGGAGTGAGGGCAAGTTGGAGGCTCAGGCTTCACCCGCATGCAGCCTACTTGTACCCAACATCCTGGAGTTAATCCTTACTTGTCCCTACATCTCGATAATAGCAGAATTTTAAAAACAAATACAATAAAATAAAATGAGAAGAAATGTGAACATCATCTTCTTCCTTTCCCACATTATTCTTCGTTTTAACTAAAATTAAGCACCTAAATTGTTTTTCAAACCCTGAGGGTTTAGGTTTAATGACTTCCTGGATTTAGGGTTTGATGTCTATGATGTGTGGGCTGGTGGCAGTGAAAACACAACAGAGAAAAAGAGATCCTTGTGAATTAAATACCAACAAAACGAATGCAACAAGCAACAATTTATTTATAAAAAAAGAAAAAACAAACTTAACTTTTTTTACGACATCTTATAGATTAAGTAAAAATACCAGTATTAATATATATGTATATACATAGTGCATATATATATATACATATGATATAACATTAACATTACATGCTTCTCAGGACAGAAGAATTAGGACTGGTTCCCTCATGTCAACTTAAAACTGGATCACAATTTAAAATCATGGAAGAAAACTTGTCTTCTCTGTTTTCTGTTTTTAGACTTCAAGTACAGGAAGCCATCAAACCAAGATCTAAACGTGGAAACCACCGGCTATGCACCAATTACAGCGGAATGCCACAAAAGACGAGCCAGGGGTCTTCTGGATTCTTACACAGGTCTCTGGAACCCTACAACCGTGTCAACCTTCTACCTGAGATGAGAGGGAATGATGCAGCGTGGCAGTTTGTAGGTTTCATGTGGACGCTCCCATAGACAGCCGTGAAAGCAAAAGCAAACGGAAAAATGTCTCCTGGTAACAGCACTGACCATGAAATCACCCGGGAGCAGGGTTCCTTTCTCCCCTTTCCTTGCCAAACAAAACACAGAAATAGTCAGAAAAACAGACGAAAAGCCCAAAAAACAAAACTCAGGGTGAAGCACCTCTGGCGATGATCAGTATACAGCAAGGGACAGAGAGGTAGCGTTTCCTGGGTGACAGCTCCTGGCTGGTTCTCACGATTTCAAACACACCCTCTTCTGCAAAAGGCACTCACATATTGTCTGTTTATAAATCATACAGTGGGATTCCATACAGGGGAGTTTCTCCTACAGATACAAAAGAGAGAGGCTGAGGACGTGGCGTAACAAAGGAAAGAGTATCAGAACTACACATTCTGGGTCAATGTGCACTTTTCTTTCATGAAAGGACCGTCAAGACAGTAGATAAAAAAAGTTGGTTGAAGAGCTAGGGATTCCAGGAAAATGACCAGTGAGAAGCAAGGGACTGGAGGGCGAAAAATGGAGTCCCCAACACCGAGAGGCGGTCCGCGCGCTTTCCGAGTGGCCGCGATGAGGGGGGGCTCGGCTCTGACACCGGGAAGACCATCCACAGACAAGGGAAGGGAAGGGGGGGCGAGGGAGCGAGGCAGCGCCGAGACACAGGGAGGGCCCGGCACCCCCGACAGGAGGACGGGCGCTGCGCCCCTCACGCCGGCAGTCCGAGGCGACCCCGCCCGCGCCGGCCCGTCCTCACCGCGACACCACCGAGCTGATGGAGTTGTAGGAGGTGCCGCTGTTGCAGCTGGAGGCGTAGGCCTCCTGGCCGTTGCCCTCCAGGCTGATCTTGAACACGGAGGACGCCTTCAGCAGGAAGTCCGCGGCGTCGCGGCGCCCCAGCTCCCTCAGCCTGGACATGAGGACGCCCACCGTGCTCTCGGGGTAGGAGGTCCACTCCCGCAGCAGGGTGTGCACCGGGCTGGGCAGGAGGTCCTCGGGCGCCCCGGGGCCGCTGTTGTGCTTGGCCACCAGGTCGGGGAGGCCCAGGTTCATGGCCAGGAGGCACCAGTCCTTCCCCAGGGGGTCGGGCGGGTCCAGCAGGCGGCTCAGCCTGCGCCGCGTCAGCAGGTTGAGGTCCGACGCGTGGATGTCCATGCCCAGGCTGGCCTGCGCGTAGACGTCGTGGCACCCGAAGCACAGGATGCTGCTGAAACTCTCCTTGTAGCCGCCCATGGTGTTGGTCAGCGAGGTCTCCTTCAGGGCCTGCGCCCGGAAGAAGTCCCGCGGCTGGTAGATCATGACGGGCTCGTGGCGCTCCCGCAGCTGCTGCGGGCTCAGGTAGTGCTTCACGGTCAGCAGCCCCGGCAGCGTGGTGGCCATGACGTTCTCGATGGTGCTGCACACCGAGTCCAGCAGGAGACAGCACCTGATCTTGTCGGTCTCCAGCCCGCGCACCTGCACCTCGATGCCCTGGCCGTGGTTGACCAGCAGCACCAGCAGCTCGGCCCCGCGGCGCGCCAGCTTGCAGCCGTTCACCCACAGGCGGATGTCCGCGTCGCCCGCGGCGCTCTGCTGGTGGGTCCAGCGGCACAGGTTCACCTGCACCTTGTGGAAGATGCCGCACGGGAAGGGCGTCAGGTGCTCCGCGGGGACCACGCGCACGCCGCCGTACACCATGGCCTCGTCCTCCTCGTCGGCCCACGAGCGGTGCAGGCTGTCGGTCTTGATCAGGGCGGGCACGTCCACCATGCTGCCGCTGCTCAGGTCCCGCGCGCAGATGTCCATGGCGTCCAGGATCTGCAGCAGCTCCTCCACGTCGCTGTCGGGGACCAGGCGCTGGATGTCCTCCACGGTGTAGCGGCCCCGGTAGTGGTGCAGGGCCCGCGGCGTCTCCACCGACAGCAGCTTCCCCAGGACGTTGGTGCAGAGCCAGCGGGGGTCCAGGAGCAGCACGTCCTGGACCGTTTCGCTCTGCATGATGTTGATCTGCCCGAGGGGACAACAGAAGGTGGCCGGTGGCGCACAGGGACAGAACCCAGGCCGGGCGCACGGGCCCCTCCTCACCGCACTGAGGGGCCTGGCCCTGGAGACCCACAGCGGGGGCCGAGCAGATATTCTAAGGAAGGACCTGAGAGGATTCTCATGGATTCAGCTCAAAAACCAGAGTGGCAAAAAACAAACAAAAAGAAACAGCTCCGGAATGTCAGAAGAGAGATTCTGAAAAACAACTACCCAGGAGTCTTTACAAGGCCAACGAAATGACAGACCAGAAAGGAAGAGAGATGGCAACCAAGTACAACGAATGACTTTTAGACTGGATTCTGAATCCTAAATACAGCAATGAATAAACAGTTATAAAAGAAATCGTTGATGATTACACCTGTAATCCCAACACTTTGGGAGACAGGTGAGAGGACTGCCTGAGCCCATGCATTCGAGACCAGCCGGGGCAGCATGGCGAGACTTTGTCTCTACAATAAATACATAAATAAATAAAATTAGCTGGGTGTGGTGGCACACACCTGTAGTTCCAGCTACTTGGAAGGTTGAAGCAGATGGACCATGTGAGCCCATCAGGTCGAAGCTGCGGTGGCCGTGAGCATGCCACTGCACTCCAGCCTGGGTGATAGAGTGAGACTCCAACTCAAAAATAAAAATAAAAAGGGAAAAGAAATTATTGGGACAAGTGTCAACCCTTTGTATGAGGACTAAACATTCGATCATAGTACTATATCATGGCTGTTTCTGGGACCGTTAATTAGACTGGCTCATGTGGGGAAATGTCCTCCTTAGGGGACATAGGCTAAATTTTTTAGGGGAGAAATGTCATGATTCTGCAAAGTAAGTAAATAAATAGAAGAGAAAGGAATCAAGCAAATGTAGGAAAATGTAAACAATGGGTCAATGTAAGTGTGGAGTTCGAGGGTTCACGGTATTATTCTTGCAACTTCTCTGAAGGCTTACAATTTTTTGAAAAACATTCAAAATGCTGTTCAATACCATGTACATTTTTAACACACACACACATGGAAAAGGTCTGGAAAGATAAGCCTCAATGATAATAGTTGGTTCCACAGAGGGAGAGAGAGAAATGAGCTGTATTTATTTCTTTAAAAAAATCAAGATTGATGCCTGGGGTGGGGTGGGGTGGGGGAAACAACAACAGAACACAGAAAGAACTTTCCCTGTAAGAAGTAGTTCCGCTTCCTGTCTTCCCTCCCTGTTCCGGGCTGGGACAGGGAACTATAGACGTCCTGGGTAGACTCCACTTGCTGGCCACAGGAGGGCTTTTCTGCCCCTAGTCTGGCTTCAGCCTTAAAGATGCCCACTGTCAATAATTCTGTTCAAAGCTGAGCCAAGGTTGAAAACCCCTGGACAGAAGAGCCAGGATTTATTTTGTTCTTGATAGAGGCATTTGATGGAACATCCTTTGCAATTCAGTCCTAAGCACAGCTGTCTCCTGAGGCTCACAAAAGAGACTTAGAAGCTGTCCCGTAGTGGAGGAGATAAGAAGACAAGACAGCTAACTAAATGTAGTGTGGGACCCTAGGCCAGAAGAGACCTGAGTAAGATCTGCAGATTAGGTGTGGAAGGCAGGACTAGGAGAAGGTGGGGGCCAGTCCAAATGGGGGGGGGGCTACAAGATGTAGATTCCCCTTCTTAATTATATCTTCATTTCCTTTTAAAGTCTCAAGGACAGAGAAGGTTGTAATGTCAAATAAAGGGGACTAGCCAGGCGTGGTGGCTCATGCCTGTCATCCTAGCACTTTGGGAGGTGGAGATGAGAGGATTGCCTGAGCCCAGAGGTTCGAGACCAGCCTGGGCAACTTGGCAAGACCTGGTCTCTAGAATTAAAAAAAAAAAAAATTAGTCCCAGCTACTTGGAAGGCTGAAGTGGAAGGTTCGTCTGAGCCTAGGTCGAGGCTGTGCCACTGTACTCCAGCATGGGTGACAAGAGTGAGACTCTGACTCAAAAAAAGAAATAATAATAATAATAATAATAATAATAAAAGAGGACCATAGCCTGTGATCTGGAAAGGTGTCAATCAAATACTAGAAAGCAAGAAAATACTAAGCAAGAAAGAGTGAGTGCATTATTACAGTTAAAACATTGCATTATTTGGATCTAGCAGTGACTTGTAACCTAAAGTCTGGTCCTTCACTTGTCTTTTTCCTTGGATTAAAACACTTTAAAGTATTTCTGGAGGTGACTCAAGGGGACTTCAAAAAAATCAAAAGCTGGTCGGGCAGAGTGGCTCAAGCCTGTAACCCCAGCACTTTAGGAGACCGAGGCAAGAGGATTGCCTGAGCTCAGGGGTTCGAGACCACCCTGAGCAACTTGGTGAGACCTCGTCTCTACAATAAATCAAAAAATAAGTCGAGAGTGGTAGTGTGTGCCTATAGTTCCAGCTACTTGGAAGGCTGAGGGGGAAGGATCATCTGAGCCCAGCAGGTCGCGGCTGCAGTGGCTGTGAGCGTGCCACTGCCCTCCAGCCTGGACGACAGAGTGAGACTCCAACTCAAAAAAAAAAAAAAAAAATCAAAAGCTGGAGGAGAAAAGTGACAGAAAACAGAAGGAACTTTCCATATACACAAGAGTTTTACAGATTAGCCAGCTGGTTAATTGGGAGTGTAAAAGCTGACAAAATTACTGCCTGAGGCTCCAGTATTCAAGGTCACTGGCTTCTGGCTTCAGGTTTAATTTCAAGAATGCATGACTCATACAAACTGGCCTTGGGATCAGACCTGGCACCCAAGACTGGAGACGCAAGCTTCTGGCTTTCGATATTCTCAGAGCTGCCTCCAGGTTAAATATTCAGAACGGCCCTTCTTGGCCCAGACTAGCTTATGCTCTCTGCTGATTGCAACTGGTGGAGGAACGTGAAAGCCAGGCCCCCTTTCTGGGAACGGGCATGTGATGCCATTAGAACAGCGTTTCCAAACTGCACCCCAGTGCCAAGCGTAACCCAGCCAAAGCAAAATTTTTGGTCATTTCTGCTAGGCCACGCTTGCTGGAGATTTTTAACGTGTGCCTCACATTGCGTTATTCTTTGTGCTTGTGTACTTGTTCTGTCTTTGTGTCCACGGACATTGTCTCCACAAGGACACTTCACTGCCTTTCCCAATTGTTTGTGAACTCAACAAATCTGTTTGGAGCTGGTTACACTCCATGGAAAGCAGTCATGTTGAGGGCTGCCAGGAATAGCAGGTGAGCTCTAGGTGTCCAGGGGGGAGTGAGAGGAGACCCAGGGAAGAGGACACTGCACTCCCAAACTCACTGACTCTGGAAACAAAAACAAAATATAGCGGGGCTCGGTGGCTCATGCCTGTAATCCCAGCACTGAGAGATGGACGCGAGAGGATTGCTTGATCCCAGCAGTTCAAGACCAGCCTGGGCAACATAGTCTATGTTGCAGACCTAGTCTCTACAACAAATAAAAAAATCAGCTGGGCGTGGTGGCATGTACCTGTAGTCATCCCAGCTACTTGGGAAGCTGAGGAGGAAGGGTCACCTGAGCCCAGGAGGTCGAGGTCGCAGTGAGCCATGATCATGCCACTGCACTCCATCCTGGGAGACAGTGAGACCTCGAATCAAAAATAAACAAATAAAAAAAAGACGAAACATAAGAAACAAGACAAAAGACAGCTCCCTAAGGTGAGGCAGAAGCAGAGGCTGCAGTTCAGAGCATCATTTGAGGCCGCAGGCAATAGTCACACATCTGGCGATATCACGGGTAGTTGGGCCGTGTCCACCGGGCCTCCCCAGGCTCACGCCACCTCCAGGAGCTGGGATCTGGGACACACGAGAGTCCCCAGAGCCTCACCGCCCCCTGCCCGGGGCCCCACCAGGCTCACCTCGCCTGTGCTGTGCAGCTGCTGAGCGACACGCCGGAGGTCCTCCTCGCTGGTCAGGGGGTTCAGCTGGTCCTGCACGTCATACACGAACTGCTGCAGCGACATCAGCTGGTTGGGCCCGTTGAGCTTCCTCCAGGAAGGCAGTGTGGAGATGATCTTCTCACACAGATGAGTCATGGGAGGGCAAGCCTGGAAGGGCAAGGCAGCGGCAGGTTGACTCACCTGTGCAGGTGAACTCACCTCCTCTGGGAGGAGCCCGGTGGAGAGGGCGGGCACTGCTCAATCAGGCTCATGGCAGGTGACTCCACGAAAGAGTGAGTGTTTAGGGTTGAGTACGGGGCAGTTGTTTTTATAGAGTTGCCTTGAAGCTGAATCTGTTTATTAAATACAAGGTTTTATGGAGGCTTTTCAGTTCTCCTGGTCGTAAGCAGACAGTGGGTCTTCCAAAAACGTTTTTGGAATTGTGGATTCCGTCAACGGCTAACGCTCACCAGCTCCGAATGTTCCATTCACTTGCTCACCCCTTCCTCCCTCCCTCCTTTCTTCACTCTCTCACTCACCTGCTCACCTGTAACTAACTGTTTCAGTCAGTGGTGACTTTATGAACAAAGAGAGGAAAAAAATAAGAATGAGTATCACTGTCAATGTCAGATTGAGTTTTTATTGGTCAGTTAGGTATTCGCGGAGACCGCTGCCAAAATACTGTTTCAAAACAGACCAGCTGTTGGTAAGCGGCTTGAAATGGGTTTTTAACCTTTTAAGTTGGTGGCATAAATCAGTCTCTGTTACAGACTCAAATAAGCCACAAACCTTCCCAATTAGAAACCACATTCAGCACTCCCCGCTCAAATCCTATCTTTTAGGCCAGCTAAATAGCACTCCCTATTCAGAAGACAACATTCTCAGGGATTAAAAAAGTTTATTTGGTGGGCTCCACCTGCCTGACCTCAGGAGTTCGGGGGTAGGGATGAGGATGGGGTGGGTGTTTGCAAAGCAGTCATGCCAAAGCCCAGCTCAAAAACCGTCAAGGTTGTCTCTCTGCCTAGGGAGTGTACCCCTAATCCAGATCTGTGTGGAAGCCTCAGGGCCCTTTCCAGACTACTGTCAGTTCCCAGGTCTCTGCCCACTAGTTTCTGTGACCTGATTCCTCTGAGGCCTCACCAGACTCCTGCCCGTCTGCTGAGCATGCCAGTGGGTCCCCAACAGGAAAGCAAGGATATCTGCTGTGGAAGGGTAGGGTTTTCATGAGAGAGGAGAGGATCTCCCGAGAATTCTGGAAGTCTCAAGTTACTTTAAAAATACACTCTTGTAAATTTCCATTTAAGCTATGTATTGTTTTTTACATTCATAAGTTTTAATTCATTTATTTTTGATTATTTAAGGTGTAGGAAGTTGGGCTTCCAGAAAAATAGACAGTTGTGCCAGGATCATTTATTAAATAAACTTTTTCTCCATTAAATTAAAACAACAGCTGGGCTCGGTGGCTCAGCCTGTAATCCTGCGCTTTGGGAGGCTGAGGTGAGTGGATTGCCTGAGCCCGCGGGTTCGAGAGCCGCCTGGGCAACTTGACAAGACCTCATCTCTACAATAAATTAAAAAATTAGCCGGGCATGGTAGCGCGTGCCTGTAGTTCCAGCTACTTGGAAGGCTGAGGCGGAAGGATCACCAGAGCCCAGCAGGTCGAGGCTGCAGTAGCTGGGAGCAGCTGCTGCACTCCAGTCTGGGCGACAGAGTGAGACTCCAACTCAAAAAAAAATAATAATAATAAATTAAAACAGCATCTTTGTTTTCAATTAAATTTCTATAGATATTATTATTTACCTCTACATCATCAAAGTTTTCCTTTTATTTAACTGTATTGATTACAGAGCCTTTATAATATCTTTTAGTAATTCTTCCATGAAAAATTTAAGACAAAAAAACCCAATCCCTCAATCTCATGTAGATACTAACTGGAATCTTATTAACTTTACATAACTTATAAATTTATATAATTTGGGAAAAATGAAACATTTAGTCATATCCTGCAATCCAAGAATGCAGTCCTGTTCTATTCGTTCATTTATTATTTTACGTCGTTCAACAAAGTTTGCTAGTGACTGTTTCTCCACTTTTCCGAATTTTCTAAATGTTGCTCAATAAGTCATTTCTGAAATTCATTTTTAAACAAACCACTGAAACATGAAGGATGTCATGAAATCTGAATCGACCCTTCGGTGCCCACGGCCACCCTGCATCTCCCACCATGTCCTCGTTCCTCCCTCTCCCTTCCTTGTCCCAGAAGGACAGCAGGAAAACATGCCCGTGCAGCCACCTTGGACCGGTCCTACGATGAAGCAGTCCCCTGACACCCAAATCAGACCAAGAGGGCAGCGCGAAGAGGCCCAGCTCCCTGGCTCTCTGGGTGGTGGCGTCAGTATCCGGGCCCAGGCCCTCTCCGGGGTATACTCACCGAAACGATCTGGCTTCGCATTTCTTGCAGGTGATTTCGAAGGACCTTGATGTCTTTGGACCCAGAAGCCCCGGCATCCAGCACAAACAGCTTATTGGAAATGTGAAGATCGTTCCCAAACCTAGGGGAAGAACGGCAGCCTCCTCAGCAGAGAATCAGTCTCACCGGGTCTTTCCATGGAGAGGCCGGGCTCCTATGGGTCCGAGAGGCAGGGAGGAGGCGAGGAAAGTTCTGGTGGCCTTGCAGAGGCCTCTCCATCCCTGCTGTTGGCAGACTCTGCCTCATCACACAGGGTGCAGAGGCTTGGGGAAATTGGCGTGTGCTCCAAGTTGCAGGAACAGGAGCTACAGAGTTGCACAACGCAGCCAGAACACAACCTGGAAAGATGTCAGCTTCTCCTGATGCAGGAAGGGTGAGGTCCAGTGTTCTCACCCCACAAGTAAGGACAAGAGATGCTGTTGAAAGTGGAGGGATGCCGGGCACGGTGGCTCACGCCTGTAATCTCAGCACTTTGGGAGACTGAGGCGGGAGGATTGCCTGAGCCCAGGAGTTCGAGACCAGCCTGGGCAACTTGGGGAGACCTTGTCTCTACAATAAATAAAAAAATTAGCTGGGGGTGGCACGTGCCTGTAGTTCCAGCTACTTGGAAGGCTGAGACAGAAGGATCGCCTGAGCCCAGCAGGTCGAGGCTGTGGTG